TGGTTATTAACAACATGTGAAAAACAATCTTTTTTTTTTATTGATAATAAACGTGAATATAATCAACGTGAACAACAACAAATATGGTTTCAAATTGATTGTGATTATAGAATTAAAAATGCTATTCAATTTGGTACGAATGAAAGAAGTATTATTATAAGAACAATACGACCAAGTCAAATAAGACTTTATCATTTTTGATAATATTTGTTTGTTTTTTTTTTGTATATTTGTATTAGTATTAGATAAAAAAAAAAGAAGTTAAACGTTGTTTTTTTTTTAAATATAAAAGTTTTTGAAAGATATTGAAGATGAGTTTTTTTTTAAATAGAGAATAATGTGAAATCTAACAATTTAGAAAATAATTTTTAGAATCAATTGAAGTCAACTATGATATTTACAATCATGAGCAAAAATCTTTCTTCCTTCCTTTTTTTCTGTTATATATTAGATTACATTCATATAATCTCAAGGGAATATTTCAAGTATAATATATGATTGATCAAGATTTTATTCCGTAAAAATAATACATCTTTCAATATTACAAATGAATCCCTTGGTATTGACTGGTTTAGATATTAAGACTGGATTGGAAAAACAAAGAAATGAAAAATGTCGAGTGTGATTAACAGAATAGAAATAGACTGAGAGAATGTAGATATGGAATTGAAAGAAGACTCACATACTCATAGCCTTATTTACATTAGAAATGATTTTAAAGTATTTGATTAATCTTTCATTTAGAATTCTGCGAGATCGTCTCAGATCCTGAAAATTATCTTTCAGTTAACAGGACAAATGTGATTCAGGACACGAGAAAATTTCTGCTGCAGGACTCTAATTGTGTATATAGGCAAGTAGTAAAAAAAAACGAACATTTCGATCAGACGGGGTCTTGACTGATTGAACTGATATTTTTTTCTTATTCATCCAAGATGGGCAAAAGTCTACAGTTTAGACTATTTTTGTGTTTGATAACTGGTGATTGAGATAAGATAGCCGTCTAGAAACGACTTGTATCAGAGATCATTTTCGAGAGTCTCAAACTGGATATATACTTTTTAACTAGAATTCCGTCATTCGCATTATGATATATATTCAATTAATAGGTCTAAGTCATTTTTGATGGAGAATACGATGGTCATAATCTCCTATTTGTATCTTAAAATTCATGTGAGAAAAAAAAATTACGAAATATTTTGTTGAATGCTTTATGTGTAAGTCCATACCCCATAATAATGATACGATAAAATACAGATGACTTCTGCTTATCTGATCTAAACTTTATTGATTATTGCATTAATGATGTTTTTTCTAACATAGTACGACTATGAAAATGTAGAAGAGCTGAAATGTAATCTTCATTGTTAGCCTTTAATGTCTCTCAGTCCATTCGAAATTTTGATCAAATATATCAATAAATTGAATAGTTACAGATTATTGTTCGATAAATTTTTGAAAAACTCGCCAAAATCAAATGTAATTTTGCTTGCTTTATAAATTCGATTAATATTATCGATTGAATTACATGCCTTGAGTTGACAATTGATTTTGGCAATATTCTGTGATTGTGTTCGACTATCTAGTAAAAACATCATTTGACGTGATATTGAATTAGCATCTTCAGAATAATAAGGACATGTTGCACAAATTTGTTGACTTGGTGGAGGTTCTCTATCGACAGAAATTTGACATCGTTGACAAGTGTCGAGATCTGTTGAAGGACAATCAACTGTAGAATTATTAAAATCATAGCATGCAGCAGAATGTGCATCAAATGGAGAAATAATTTTAAGTAATGGAGTTAATTTTTGAGCAAATTTCTCTTCGATAACCAGTGAATGAAGAATTTGTTTTAAACTCATTTCATCATTGCATTTATCCGATAGACAAACATAACCAAATGAATGATTCACTTGTGGAAACTCGTGTTGATGCACCATAGTCATGTCAGCGGACGCCATGATGATATGTTCTAAAGCATAGTCGACAGACAGAGTGTTTATACTATCCACTAAGATACTAGAAGTGTGATTATTTTGATTCCATATGACAGTAATCCAACATATTCCACCATTGACCACCTGACATTTAGAAAACGATGGAACTGTATCACTTGTTACGGTATAATTAAGTGTGAAACCACCTTCACAGACGTAACACTGTAATGATAAAATTAAAGTCGGTGATTTCAACAACAAAATAAATAGAACCATGATATATAGCATGATTGTATAGTCTTTATAGAAGAAAAATACGAAATTGAATGTATGATGTCTTCACCTTTTATACACGTATCTAAGATAAGCACTATGCAAAATGACAGAGAACATGCTTGTTTGTCAGTTTTTTGCAGTGTGAGCTGTGTGTTAAGAATGAAAAAAACAATTTGACGAGCAATTTACAATTGGTATACGATTTCATACGTCTGAAGCTGTGGTATAGATTTATTGAGATCCAACTTTCATTTTATACTTTATTTATACAATAGAATATGATATCCACAAAAAATTGCAACCATCTTCTTCGATGAATGTAAAAATGTACTTTAAAAAAATAAACGGAAGCCAGTCTTTTGAAAAGAAGACGACTTTCGATTTCGAATAATTAATGAAAAATCTGAAAATCATGCATTACTCTTCAATATACTATATGATCGACTATAAGAAAGTATTAAATGATATAAGATATGCGTAATTTTGATCAAGTCAATATGAACAGAGTGAAAATTCTTGGTAACTATATATTTCATCGGAAAAAAAAATCGTTCAATATCTTGGACTGTTTATGTGTTTTGTTTTTAATAATGTTCGTTCTACTTTTTATTGTGACTTGACTTTTCGCGGTCCTTATGTTTAATTATCATTATAATACTATATGTATAGTTTTCTTCTTTTACTGTCACAGGGACGAAGTTCGTCATGACAACGAAGCGTGATGATATACCGCACATTGTATTTCTTAAAATAAAGCAATATTATAGATATAAAGAAATTTTGTCAGCATTCATTCGCATATAGGAGAAAAAGAAAGAGAAAAAATGTCATTTTTTTATTTATTCATTCATTGTCAGTTATGGATTATAGACATATGTCTTATTGTTTTCATTGACCACATCGGTCAAATAGAGAAAATGAGCATATATATATATATAAATATTCATATTTATAAACGAAAAGAATAGATCAGTGAAAATAAATATGGAAGATTCATCGATTGAATTAAATGAATTACCTGATGAGATTCTTATAATTATTTTGAAAAAATTGTTCAATACCGAAGTACTCTATTCTTTGATAGATGTTAATAAACGACTCAATTCAATTGTACATGATCCAATTTTTACAAGTCATTTAATATTGATGAGATGTTTCTCGGATGATTCCATCTATCCATTACCTGATTCAATACTTGATCGATTTTGTTCACAAATCTTATCCTCAATTCATCATAAAATCAAATGGCTTAATCTTGAATCATCATCTATGAAACGTATTCTTCTTGCTACAAATTATCCGAATTTATATGGACTTGGTTTATATAATATTGAGGCAGAAACAGCTTTATCTCTCTTTATTGGTAAGATATTTTCTTCAATTC